TTATTTATTTATTTATTTATTTATTTATTTATTTATTTATTTATTTATCATATTTATATATCGTGTTTGTTTGCATATAAACCCTTCCTTTCTATTTACATATCCAGTCTCTTTCTTCAGTAGTGACAGGGAATATATTTCAGAAGCAGAATAAGATGTTTCTGCCTTCATTGAAGATAGGGAAATGTTTACTGGAATATGGTCCAACTCTGATTTCTTTCATTGGTCTTACCTTCTGCCCAACTATTCTTCCTCTATCCACAACATATATTCATTCAGGGCTTCATGTCTACAAGTGAAGTTGGTTGGGGGATAAGAACCCACACACTACCCTTTCTCTACCTAGCCTCATTATTTCAAAATATGTGATAGGTTTATCATACCTTTCGACAAGGGGGGCTGTTAAGAAATTTAATTGATATGCAATTGAAGTCAAGACCCAGCCTTCTCAAGGTGGCCCATTGAGGACACAACTTCAGTCTTTTTCACATAGATACACTTCTGTTGTTACAGATTCCAGCCTCAAGCTTAGACTTGTCTAAATACCTCCCTTTTTTATTATGTCTGCTGGCTATCAATACCTAGTTGATTAGTTGATTTGCAACTGTAAAAACAGTTGTTTAATATACACACTAAAGCTGAAATGAAATTTCACCCACATTTCACATACAGCAACAGTTTATAGCTCTAGTTTTTTGACACTTTGCTATTTCCAATTCTGATTTGTGAAGCTGAAGGGCACATGTAGAAAAAATAATGATGCATTTATAAGTCAGATTAGAGAGTTTGGCATCTTATCCCTCAACCCATCCTGGATTTTCTTAGGTATTCACAATCCTCCCTCCGTTTCTCAGTATATATACATATACATTCTAGACTTTTTAAAATGTTTAGATTATACTGATGGGAAAGGAATCCCTTAAGACTTATCACCAGCCCAAAACAAGCAACACTAGACTGATCAAACACACAATTTTCAGTTTAAAATAGTTTCCAGTGCTCTAATCATTCCCTTTTAATCCAGTCTTCCGTAATCTGGTACTCTGTAGATCTGTTGGACAACATGTCCTAAGGTTCTGGGCTAATTCTGGGAATTGTAGTCCCAATATCCAGGGTTCTCAACTGGGGGAAATTGGTTAGTCTATTTTTCCACTCTTTCAAACCTTTTACTTATCCTTACAACTACTATTCCAAATATATACAAGCAAATGCTCACAGTTTCGATAGAGGATCAGTTCACCAGCATCAGAGGGTGAAAGAGTTGGGTTAGCCACCTTGGTGTAAAAACTTAAAAATCAGTTGCCACCTTCCATTGGCTAAGTGATAGCCTTTCGGAGCTCTGTCTGATCTTAACCTTCTCCCTTATAAAGCCTTTCTTGAAAGGAAGAGCTGGACTTGACATTCTTCCAGCATGAAAAAGATAAAAGAGGAAGATCTTGGGAGATTGGAGATCCTAACACTAATTAAATCACCAAGGGCTGAAGTGTTTAATTAAAACTTTCCCAAGAGTGCCAAAAGTTTGAGACCAACTTTGCTAATAATTAATAGGGAAAATATTTTGTCTCGGTAGGATAATCCCCTAATACTGTTCAGAGGTTCATCTCACCTTCCCTGAAGTGAAGACCTAGTTAATATTTTGACCCTAGACATGAAAATACAAAGTAAGGGAAAAAAATCTCCCCCCACCTGGTTAAAGTTTTCATTCCTTGCTTCCTTTTTGGCCATGAAGGACATGGTCAACCCACCCTATCTTTTTTTATTACAAATTCCCCAATACTCATCTGCTAGATTGGGGAGTTGAAGGAATATTCCCGAACCTGGGCAACAGAAAACTCTCTCTGTATTGGAGCCAATAAAATGACATGGACTTGTAGTTGGTTTTCTGGGTGTGTCAACACACAAAAAGGAACAGTAAATGCAGAATCAGCCTCTGCTACACAACATATATGGTCTGTCTCTGGAATTGGCAAAGCATAAGGAGTAGGAACAAAAATACTGTTTTTAGGACAATTGGTTTCCTTGTAGTGGATCATTTTCAAATTGAACTTGGAAAAGTCTTGATTTTAACCAATGTCAAGGAGAGAAATTATTCCTATTTGTTCCCCCACCCCCACCCAGATCTCATTCATTTGATGAGGGAGAATTTGCTTAGAAGTTTGTTCCAGAGTAGAAGAACATTGCAGAGAAATTCTCCCGAGGATAAGATATTCCTGCCTGGTTTGGGTGGGGATGTGCAATGCTTCAGATTCAAATTCAGAAAACATGCTTTGGAGTGGGGGAGGGTGCTACAGTTCCCTCCCTACCCACCCACTCACAAAACAAAGAATCCTGCAAAAAGAAGCAGTTGCTTTAATGAGTCCTCAATAGTTGCTGTGTTGATGTTCCTCACATGCTCTGGGATTGTGAAGTCTCTCCATAAGTCATTGCTTAATTGTATTATTTAAGGCTGCCAATAATTATCAAATACATTATATATTATACAAATACATTTGTCAGTGTGTTAACTCTATGGAAATTTCATTTAATTTTAATTCAATTGACCTGACATTCAGTCCAGTTTGAGTCTTACCTTTACCCCACCTGCTACTTTGTCTTAATCCTCCTCACCTTTTGAAGCATGCTACTTGAAGGACAAAAATTTTGGTTTGGTTTTTGAAGAACGTTTAATTGTTGTTTTATTGTACATCACCCAGAATCACATTTGTGAGATGGGTGGCCATATAAATTTGAAAAAAAAATAAATAGATAAAAATCGCCCTTGTCTGGGAACTTCATTCCAGAAAGGGACAATGGTTCAAGGAGCCATAAAGTGTTGCCAGTTAACTAGTGCCATGTCCACACAGCCTTCTCGCCCTAGCATGGACAGCCCAGGGACATATCTGTATACCACCACCTGGGTCTCATGGCCCAAGGTGCTCCATCCTGGAAGTGATGTTTTCCCTCTTATCCCAGTTCAAGGTCTTCCATCTGGACAATCCATGGAGCGTGGAGGAGGTGGCTTCAGAT